GCCTACTGGCCCAGTTAACCAAGATCCCATTGAATTCTTAGACAACCTTCTTCACTGTTCACTATACCACCAATTTTGGTGTCATCTGACAACTTACTAAACATGCCTCCTATATTCTCAAACAAATCGTTTATATAAATAACGAACAACAGTGGTCCCAGCACCAATCCTTGTGGCACACTGCTGGTCACAGGCCTCCATTCTGAACAACAAACCTCTATCACCACCCTCTGTCTCTGACTGCTAAGCCAATGTTGCATCCAATTGGCTACCCCTCACTGGATCCCATGTGTTCTAACCTTACGAACCAGTCTACCATGTGGAAACTTGTCAAAGGCCTTGCTAAAGTCTACGTAGACAACATCTACCACTCTGCCTTCAACTATCCTCTTGGCCACTTCCTCAAAAAACTCAATCAAGTTAGTGAGACATAATTTCCCAATCATCCCTATTCAGTACTTGCCTTCCCAAATGCATGTAGATCCTATGTCTCGGAATCCCCTCCAACAACTTACTCACCAATGACATTAGGTTTGCTGGTCTGTAATTCTCTGGCTTTTCCTTGCAGCCTTTCTTAAATAATGGCACAGCATTAGCCATCCTTCAGTATTACGCCACCTCATCCCTGGCTATTGATGACACAAATATCTCTGCTAGCGACCTCATCATTTCTTCTCTAGCTTCCCACGATTTTCTGGGCATACACTTGGGCAGCTCTTGGGGATTTATCTATGTTTATGCATTTTAAGAACTTCAGCACCCTTTCTTTTGTAATGTTGACATTTTCAAGACTTCACTATTTATTTCGCAGAGTTCACTGGCTTCCATTGTCTTTCTCCACAGTAAATACTGACATGAAATATTCATTTAGGATCTCACCCATCTCCTGTGCTTCTGCCCATAGATCTTTGATCTTACCTCACTGACCCATGGAGAGATATATCATTATCTGAACGTTTAACACATGCTTGGACAGAAATGTGAAACTCTGTCAATCACAAAAAATTTAAGATCAGAGAGGCAACCTGATGGTACTTGCCTATCCACACGGTTTTGAACACTAGTCTCTGTCATGTGACCAGAGCATCTCTTCACTCACCCCCAGACCATCTTGATGGAAGTCAGCTTTTCACTCCCATTATTTTTGGATTACCAATTTTCAGTCTCAGAGACTGCAACAGTATTTTGTACTCAGTTTGTAATATTTATTTAGAGAAATGCAGCCATTATCACAGCAAGGGTCATTTTTATTTTAATTTCACATTACAGGAACTGTCTATTTCATGTTTGTCCTTTATAAGTTCAGATTGTGCAAGCATAACATAACTCCTGACACATAAATACTCAGCACAAGCTTCAAAATGATGACGAGATATTTATTCTGACATTGTGTTATGTGTGGATTGTCCCTGCTCATGTTGGTACAGTATTGTCTCGACAGCAATGCTCATGCTGTAGAAACTGATTCATGACACCATTTCCCATGATACTTGATATACAAAGCAGTGAGATGCCATAAATTTCACCTGGGCAGATAACATTGTATTCTGATTTAGAATATGTTGTGGTATAATTATTTTGCTTGTCAGTTTCACTTGGTTAGATTACCATCAGTCTTATCAATAACAGACGAACTAAAGTTCACAAATAAATCAACAAAATTTGTAATAAGAGTGAGCTTTTGGATAGAATAAACTAGTGTTAACGAAAACTGATATGTATGGATGTATGTTAGCAAAGTTCAATTGGTCTGCTAGAATTCCAGTAAAGCAAAGGGTGAAATACTATATTTGACAGCAGTCACTGCGACAGTACTGATAATGTTACAGCATTAACATTAATCCATTGTTTAAATCAGTAATTCCGCAGCACAGGATTTGCATTGAGTGGATGTAATTCGCTCCCTCACCTCTTCCCCCTGCAGTAATTGCTTTTCTCCTGCTGTTTCTTCCTAATCATTTTCCTCTCCCTCTTCCCAGCCGCTGGAACTGACAGCATTCCGACACTGTCATGACAGGAATCAGTGATGGGGTGACTGTATTCAATGATGGAGCATCCACAAACCACCAGGGTAGAGAATTCTATCAAACAAAAAACCTTTGAGTGAAGTAATTTCTCCTCTTTTCATTCCAAAATAATTGTCACCTTATCCTAAGACTGTGATTTTAGAATTTCAGACCAGTGGAAACAATGTCTCAGCAGTTATCCTGTCAAACCCCTACACAATGTTATATGTCTCAATGAAATACTTTCTCATTTATTTGAACACCAGAAGATTTGGCTCAATTTACCCAGTCTCTCATCACAAGATAAACTCACCATCCCAGGAACCAATCCAGTGAACCTTTACTAATGCAATAATATCTCTCCTTAAATACAAAGGCCAAGCCTACACACAATGCTCCAGCTATAAGCTTACCAAAACCCTACACTATTTTAGAAAGGCTGTTATTCCTGTCCTCTAATCCACTCTCTATAAAGACTAATATGCCATTTGCCTTCCAAATTGCTTGCTGCTGCATCTATCTGCTGATATTCTGTTCTCCTTGTCTAAGCACATCCAGGTCTCTTTTAACATCAACATTTACAAGTTCCACATTCTTGCAACCAACATGAACAGTCTCCCACATATCCACACGATACTCCAACTGCCATCTTGTTGCCCACTCTATTGGCCTATCTCTCTTCACAGCCTATGTGTCCTCCTCACTGCTTACCTTTCCACCTAGCTTTATATCATCAGCAAATGTAGAAACATTAGTCTCTGTCTCTTCATCTAAATCAGGAATTTAGATTGGTGACAGCTAAGGCCCAGCATTGATCCTTGTGGGATGTCACTATTCAGTGACTATTATGTCAACTCTGTTTCCAGTCTGTTAAAAAAATCCTCTGTCCATTCTACAATATTGCCCCCAACTCAACAATTCCATATTTTGTCTTCATTTTATGTGGTACGTTACCGAATGATTTTGGAAATCCACAAATACTACATCTAGTGGTTCCTCTTTATTCAACTAAGTTATATTCTAAAAGAACTCAATGAGAAAAATTTGTTAAGCAGGATTTCCCTTTAATAAAGCCATGTTCATTTGTTCAAATCATACTGTGCTATTCTAGCCACGTTAGGACTTTGTTAATATTAGATTCCAGCTTCTCCCAATGATTGATGTTTGGTTAACTGGCCTGACGTTCACCATTTCCTCTCTCCCTTCTTTCTTGAAGAACACAATAACAATTTTCTGAAGAAGGGTCCAGGCCCGAAATGTCAGCCTTCCTGCTCCTCTGATGCTGCTTGGCCTGCTGTGTTCATCCAGCTCTACACCTTGTGATCTCAGATTCTCCAGCATCTGCAGTTCCTACTATCTCTGTTAACTTTCAATCTGTTTGGCCTGCACCTGAATCTAAGGAGTTTTGGAAGATCAAACCTTGTGTGTGCATTATTTCAAAGTTAAAACCGAACGAACTGCAGATGCTGTAAATCTGAAGATAAACAGAAATGGCTGGAAAAGCTCAGCAGGTCTGGCAACATCGTGTTAACGTTTCGTTTCCAGTGACCCTTCCTCAGAGCCTTTCAGAGAAAGGTCACCGGACCCAAAACGTTAACTCTGATTTCTCTTCACAGATGCTGCCAGACGTGCTGAGCTTTTCCAGCCATTTCTGTTTTTATTTCAAAGTTAAATTTGGTTTAGAATTGCGGGATGGTAGGTCATTTGATCTTTGGTATATGTCAGATTTTAGTCCCTTAACTTTGTCCAGTACTTTTTCTTTGTTGATATCAATTTTTTTTAATTTCCTTATTCTTGTTAGCCCCCAAGTCACTGAGAATATCTGCTGTGAAACTTCTGTCTCATACTTGTGAAGACAGATATAAATTTGTTTAATGCCCCTGTCATGTCCTCATTGCCCAGGCTTCTTTCTTTTGTCACTGCTTCCCAGGATTCAATATTTACCTTATCTACTCTCCCGTTTATATTTATCAAAGGTTTTACAATCTGTATTTAAGAATTACCGTTAGTTTATTCTCATAGTCTAGTTTATTTCCCTTCTGATTAACTTTTTACTGCTCTTTGGTGGTTCCTGAAACACTCCCAATGCTCAGACTTGTTATTGTTTATTTACAACTGAGCCCCTAAAGTGGCTACATAATGGCCATTCAAGGCCAACTGCTGTTGGAATTAGAGATAGTAGGAACTGCAGATGCTGGAGAATCTGAGATAACAAGGTGTAGACCTGGATGAACACAGCAGGCCAAGCAGCATCAGAAGTGCAGGAAGAAGGATCTAGAAGAAGGGTCTAGGCCCGAAACGTCAGCCTTCCTGCTCCTCTGATGCTGTTTGGCCTGCTGTGTTCATCCAGCTGTACACCTTGTTATCTCTGCTGTTGGAATTAATCCAGTGGGAAGCTGGCATGTTACTATGCAGCGTGCACTATAGCTGTTCCCCTGCAGACAGCTTATCATCTTAGGGAAGGATGTGCAAGGATCTCTTGATCCATGGAAATCATTGTCTGATCAAGGGATTAGAAATCTGGGCGGTGGGTGCTTGCTTGTAGCCACACAGAGCTCCAACTAACAATACCTACTCTTCCACCACCACATCACGTCCCTTTCTCCTAGTTCACTCTGCGATCCTTGGACTCTGCATGAGTGTACTTCCAGCAGCAACCATGACCACCTCCATGACATGTCAACAGAAGAGCTACTGGCCTCTGATTGGTCAGCAGCTCCCTCCAAGGGAGACTGCTGTCCCCATGCCTCTGATTTCAGGGGGAGTCCCTTGCCACTGCATAATTAGGTTGTGATTTGGCAAGCCTTCCCTGGAAGAGGCAGTGTTAGTGTCTCAGCAGCTCTCCTGTAGCAGCTGCTAAAATCCCTGGTGCCTTAAGAAGTTTCGGCTCATACTATGGAAGGAAACAAAACTTAAAAATGAGGAAGGGAAAGAAGATTTCCAAAATGATTAAAATCCTTTGAATAATAACATTGTTAATGGTTTACAAAATAATTGTCAATTGTTAATTGTAAAGACAGTATTTAATCAAAACTCTTTCAGATACAAATGTCAACACAAACTGAATTCCAATTAAATGGTAATGGCATAAAATGGTATTAAAGACAGATACAAAACAGGAGCTTGACTTAAAATAAATTTGTCTTTTTTTTAACCTGTTGAAAAAGGGCAGCTTGATTCAGAACGAAGGAATCTTGCACCTTGAGTGTATTTTGCAATCACTACTCCATCTATCTTATAGCATCTAAGCAGCTGGTAACTGCAGGGGAACTGGCAGAGGTCGCGTGAGTAATATGGTAGTGGAGCGAAGTCTGTCAGCTTTAGCACAACATTAACCCTGAAAATGCAGAAGATTCAGAAGAAGGGTCCCGGCCCAAAACGTCAACTTTTCTGCTCCTCTGATGCTGCCTGGCCTGCTGCGTTCCTCCAGCTCTACACTGTGTTATATCTAACACTCCTTACTTATGTTTTGTTAGATGGTGGATAAACACTGTGGAGACAACAGATGTGCTGATGGTCTTCAAATTTCTCGCCTCTGACCTGTCCTTGTCGCTATAATATTTTTGTGGCTGGTCCTGTTCAGTTTCTGTTCAATGGTAACACCAAGAATCTTGACAGTGGGGGATTCATTGACTGTAATATGAATTAATATCAAGGGGTGATGGTTAGATGCTTCCTTGTTGGAGATGGTCATTACCTGGCACATGTATAAGCATGAATGTTACTTGCCACTATCAGCCCAAGCCTGGCTATTGTCCAGATATTGCAGTCTATGGATACGAGCTGCCACAGCATCTGTGGAGCTGTGGTAATAAGGCTGAAATTTGTATAACCATTAAAAAACATTTCAACATCTGATGTTAGGATGAAGGAAACGTACAACTAAAGATGACTGGATCATGGACATAGCTTTAAATTGAGGGGTGATAGATATAGGATAGATGTCAGAGGTAGGTTCTTTACTCAGAGTAGTAAGCGCGTGGAATGCCCTGCCTGCAAAAGTAGTAGACTCGCCAACTTTAAGGGCATTTAAATGGTCATTGGATAACCATACGGATAATGGAATAGTTTAGGTTAGATGGGCTTCAGATTGGTTTCACAGGTCGGCGCAACATCGAGGGCCGAAGGGCCTGTGCTGCGCTGTAATGTTCTATGTACTCTAAGACACCCCTGCTGTGATGACCTGTGACTGAGATGATTGATTTCCAATAACCACAAGCAATTTTCCTTTGACCTCGGTACGACTCCAACCAGCAGTGAGTTGTCCCGCTTATTCGAACTGACTCTGAATTTGTTCAGGCACCTTAATGCCTGATCCCACCGGCGCTGCGTTCTTTTGCCATCGCCGCAAAAAAGAAGATGAAGGTGAAAGAGAAAAGAAGAAAGAAAAGGTGAAAGAAGATTGTGGCTGGGCTGGTGCTGGGCAGCAGACAAGCTTAGTGGCCCCAAATGCTGCCTACCCTGCCAGTGGCGCCATCAAGGTTTAAGGTGAGAGGGAGAAGTTTAACAAGGACCTCGTTGTAACTTTTTATGGGCCAAAAGCTGGCACATTGGTCTAGGTCAGATTGGGATGCCTGGTAGGCATAGACGAGTTGGGCCGAAGGGTCTGTTTCCATAGAAATTGCAGTCTATCGATAAATGCTGCTTTAAGACTCTAGTATCCTCTCCTTTCTACGTTTGGAAGGCTGCTCTCAACATCACGTCTGCCTATCATGTCCAGATGGTACCTCTGTATTTTGAGTAACATTCTTTGGAGCAGATAGTGGCATATTTGTGGAAATTGCTTTGAAGTTGCTTGTGGTCAGCCCCGAAGAATATTATGCTCCCAGAAGTAGGTATTGATGAAGATGTTCAAAAGCAAATAAAATGGCTAGGCACTCTTTATCCATTCAAGCATAATGGTTCAATTTGTGCTAATTTCCTGGAATCAAATGCAACCCACTGTCCTTGCTGCATTAGGATTGCACCAAATCCTGAGTCACTGGTAGTGAGATGTGGGACCTTGCTGCCAAGTGCAGTCTCTCTCACCTCACCTGTGCAGTTCAACTCTTCAGTCTATGTTCGGACCAAAGCTGTCATGAAGTCACAGGCTGAGTGGGCCTGGAAGAACCTGAACTTAGCATCAGAGAGCAGGTTAATTGTTGAGCAAGTGCTGTTTGATAGTATCTTGGCAGGTTCTGGAGCCGAAGTCTTTAGTAGTGTTGCTGGTAGATTGACAGGGCCCATAGCCTTTACTTTATCCAGTGCCTTCATCCATATTTTGATATCACATATCCAAATCTGCAGAGAACTGAATCCTTTTATGGCATTCTCTGCTTCATGCAACGACTGTTCTAATACCAGGTGAGTGGGATGTACACTGAATGTGCTGATGGGTTTAATAGCATTGGAAAATAAGCTTCCTCTTGATAAGGCTTTCTATTGGGATTGGTCTATGCTGGGTCTGTTAACCTGATCACCTATTAGGTTTAAAATATCACGTGAATGATAGCCAAAAGGTGGAAAAAGAGACCGATGTGAAAATTACTTATAATCAAAAATGAAACACATTCCCAGTGGTTGTCTTTCTGCATAACCTGTAGCAGTCCATTTCAGTAATAATGTTTTTGTTACATTTCAAAAGAGGACATGACAGAGAATGGGCTGAACATTGCAAGTGAATCCATCACTGTCATTATGGACACACAGATATTTCTAACCATAGGAATGGTGGGCTGAATGGATATATCCTGTGCTGGATAATTCCAGCAGAGGGCAACATTTTGTATTTAATGTAGGGGCAGGCTGTGTGCAGGGAACACGTGAAATTAATTAGACTCTTAAAATCCTCCTTATAATACATGTAGAAAAAGCCATCCAGAAGATATTGTTCTGTAATAACACTTCCCTGACCTGAGGGAAGAATATTTTCACAAATGAGTTCAGTAACAAAGGAATATTTTAAGAGTAGACTTTCAGCAATGCTTAGGGTTAGATCTCATTTATCCATCAACTAGAGCATTCACTCACTGTACTGATGTTTGGTTTGGATCATTTTCGGACCTAAATGCAACTGTCACCACTCTCTGTGCATTCTCTGCAAGATCATGCAGCACAGCATTCAGCAGTTTGTATGTCATAAGGAACGATGACCCTGCTCCAAAGATGGAACCAACCACTGGGATGATGTCAAGGGCGAGCTCAATTGCTGAGATGGTGACAGCAGCAACACCCCAGGCCAATCTGTTTATGACATCGGGAGTTATCTCCCCACCGACCAGGGGAGTTGTTATCACTGCTTTCAGATCCTCCACAGATTTCCCTGCCCTTTTGGCCAGTCTTTCAAGATCAGAATCATTCAGACCCAGACATCGACGGAAATGTATTATTCCGCCAATCAGTATGCTGATGTCACTAGCAAGAGAGACTCCAGGAACTGGCACTGCCCCGATTACACTAGAAAGCGTCGCCAACATCCAGACTCGTTTCTTTAGCTCTTTCCTTTTCTTCTCCACAATGTCCGAGTTTAAGTTTGGAAGGGCCAGTATGTACACACTTTTCTTTATACATGGAAGGTCACCTTCAAGAGCTTTATTTAACAGACTAAAATCATACAGATGCAGATCCAAGTTTGAAATCAGGAACACACTGGGTGTTGGGATCCCTGCCTCTTGCAGCTTGCTGACACAGTCCTTCCTGATCTTCACCAGTTCTTCCTCTTCATTAAATTGCCCCCCTCCCCTTCTCTTTGAATCAAGATCATTATCGATTTTAGATCGAACAAAATAGAAATTCTTCCCAAGCCGTTTAATCTCTTTGGCAAGTTTTGTGTCATTTTCTTTGAATCGACAGTGTGAGATGATGATGAAGAAATCATATTTTTTAAATTTCATTTCCTTCAGGTATTTATTTGCTGGGAATTTTATGGTCCCAATTCCTGGCAGATCCCAGAAACAAACATTTGGCAGGTTGGGATGTTTGTATCCGGCTGGCTCCTTTGTGGTTTCTATGTTATCAACTTCAGCTGCTCCCTCATCATTGACCTGAAGTCCTCTCATCGCATTGATGAAGGAAGATTTTCCTGCACCCGTTTCTCCTGTCACTGCAACATTAAGTTCTGTCTTGTCCAGCTCAGTTACTTTCTGCTGTAACACTGTTTTAACCATTTCCACTCCACCCGTTTCATAATCAGACTTCAGTTTCTTAAGCTCTTCCTCAGTGAAGAATGAAGAGTTTGAAGATTCCACTGTTTGATTTTCCAAACAATCTGAAGTTTCACCTTCTTGATTTCTGAAAGAAAATAAGTTTAAATAATCATTTCAGAAATCTTCAGAACCTCCTAACACACTTAATTTCTCATTGGTTGTTAAAATGCAATCACTGTTTTAAATATAGCTGATTGTGATGCCCAATTTGTACACAAGATCTTACCATGACCAAAGAGGTGAACAACACATTCCCTCTTACTGATGGACCCCTTGTGTTTAGGTTCATAGCTACCACATTTGAGGATAATCATATCCTCTCTCTCTGACTCTCTCGACAGTAGCAACCAAATGTTTACCTCCACCCCGCTAAGTTTGTCTTCACCAGTCTGTGAATCACCTTCTTTCAGTCTATCTAAGCCCTCCCAAGGGGATGGTTCTCAACTGCTGTTTGAGGCTCAAGTGTCGTGATGGATCAAGTGAACTGATGATTGGTTAAAGCCCAAACTAAGGGCCTCGGCTGTTGAAGATGCTCCTATTATGTTGAAGTATTGAAGAAGAGGGGAGTTGAATAGAGTACAGGAGCTGTATGACTGCAAATTTAATGTGTTGCACAGATAGGTTGTATTCTAGCAGAAGAAGCTGAAGAAACAGTTTAGTTCGGACATGGCAAGGCATCTCGGTTACATGGTGTGTGGGTCCTGTTGCACATGAGAAGACATGGATGCTGCCAGTGACATAGCCAATCACATGTACACGTGATGTAACCAGCCACAGAAACCTGAGCTCTGGGTTTTGCAGTTTGAGTGGCTGCTAGAGCCACTGTGATGCAGAGAACAAGGGTGGGTAGTATGTTCAGAGACGTAGTCAAACTGCAGGCTAGCACCTTGCAGACAGAAAGGAAATGGGTGAGTATCAAAAAGTCCAAGCAAACCAGGAAGAGAACCCTAAAGTTCCATTTGCTAATTGGTTTTCTACCTTGGATATTGGTGAGGGCATTGGTTACTTGGAGGAGTGCAGTCAGAGCCAGGTTCATGGCACCATGGGTGGTTCAGCTGGACAAGAGAGGACAATGATAGATGATTCACTAGTTCAGGGGGGAGGCATTTATGTGTTAGCTCCCTGGTACTAGAGTCCATTATGTCATGAGTGACTGCAAGACATTTTTCTGGGAGAAGCTGAACTGCCAGAGGTCATTGCACATGTGATTTTGGTAGGAAAAATGATGAGGTCCTAAAAACAGATTTCATGAGCTAGAAAGGAGATTGAAAAGCAGGAGCCCTAAAGCAGTAAACTTAAGGATTACTCCCAGTCTCATGTAATAGTGAGCATAGAATTAGAAAAATTGAACTTATGGCTGGAGAATCTGGTGGAGGAGGGAGGGCATGGAAAAGATTAGCATCTTTGCAGAGAGATTCACTAGTGCTGCTGCTGGGGGTTTAAGGTGGATGGGCAGGGAAATGGGAAGCTGAGAAGGAGCTGAGATTTGAGACAAACAAAGCTGGTCGAAAAGTTGAAAAGTGGAAGGCAAAAATAGAAGACAGGTAGTAATGGCACGTACCAAATAGGATCAGAATAAAGGGTAATAATTTTTAAAATGTCGGAGTTAAAGGTACTGCATCTGAATTCATGCTGTACAGCATTCACCAAAAGATAAATAATTTGAATGCACAATTTGAAGTAATTGGTATGATTCAATTGCTATTTCAGAGATATGGCTCCACGGTGATTGAAATCAGGAAGTAAATATCCAAGGATATCAGGCATTTAGGAAGGATACGCAAAATGGAGGTGGCAGAAACTTCTGGGAAGAGATGAAATCAGTACGTTAGAAAGAGAGGATCTTAGATCAAAGGAACAGTATGCAAAATCAGATTGAATGGAGTTATGAAACAGCAAAGGGTCACAAACATTGGAGGGAGTTGTTTATTGGCCATGATAAGACATAAGATGGTAACATATAGGAGCAGAATTAGGCCATTTGGCACATCAGGTCTGCTGCAACATTCAATTATGGATGATACATTTCTCAACCCTGTTCTCCTGCCTATTCTCTGCAACCCATAACCCCCTTACAAATCAAAAACCTATCACTGTCCTAAATACACTCAATGGCTTGGCCACCACAACCTTCTTTAGCCATGAGTTCCACAGATTTCCGACCCTCTGGCTGAAGAAATTCCTCCTCATTTGGTTCTAAAGGGACGTCCCTTCATTCTAAGACTGTGCCCCTGGGTCCTTGTCTCTCCCATGAGTGAAAACATCTTCTCCACGTCCTCTCTATTCAAGCCTCTCAGTGTTCTGTAAGATTCAATGAGATTCCCCCTTCATCATTTTAAACCCCATTGAGTATAGATCCAGAATCCTCAATCATTTCTCATATGACAAGCCCTCCATCCACAGGATCATTCTTGTGAACCTCCACTCGACCCTCTCCAAGGCCAACACATCCTTCCTTAGATACGGGGTCCAAAACTGCTCACAATATTCCAAATGTGGTGCGACCAGAACTTTAGACAGCATCACGAGTATACCTCTGCTTTAGACCTCAAGAAATGATTGTTAATGTTGCATTTGCCCTCTTAACTGCCAACTGAACCTGCATTTTAACCTTACCATTTTAACCTGAAAAAGGACTCCTAAGACCGTTCATGCATCAGATTTCTGAAGCCTTTCCCCATTTGGAAATTAGTTCACGCATCTATTCTTCCTACTAAAGACCATAACCTAACTTTCCCACATTATATTTAATCTGTAACTCTCTAAAGCCTCTCCAAGTCCTTCTGTAGCCTCCCTACCTCCTCATCACTACCTGTCTCTCCACCTTTGTGTCATCTGCAAACTTAGCAACTAATGTTCTTTTGTTCAGATCATGAATGTATCAGTAAATAGTTGTGGTCTCACCACTGACCCCTGGGGAACTCCACTAGTCACCGGCTGCCATCCTGAAAAAGACACTTTTATCTCCACTCTCTTCCTTCTGCCAGTCAGCCAACCCTCTATTAATGCCAGTACCTTGCCCCCAACACCATCGGCTTTTATCTTACTTAGCAGCCTCCTGTGCGGCACCTTGTAGAACGCCTTCTGGGACTCCAAGTAGATCATGTCCACTGGCTCTTCTTTAACTAACATTTTCATTACCTCTTCAAAGAATTCTAACATACCTGTCAGGTATGACCTCTCCTTGATGAAGCTGTGCTGATTCAGCCCTATTTTACCACGCACTTCCAAGTAATCTGAAATCTTATCCTTAATAATGGACTCTAAATTCTTACCAACGACCGAGGTCAGGCTAACCAGCCTATAGTTTCCTCCCTCCCTTCACAAACAGGGGTGTTACATTTAGCCATTTTCCAGTCTTCTTGGACCTTCTCTGACTCCAGTCATTCCTGAAACATCACTACCAATGCCTCTACTATCTGCTCAGCTAATTCCTTCAGAACCCTGGGGTGTAATTCATTGATTTGGGTAATTTATCCACCTTCAGATCTTTCATCTTCCCCAGCACCTTCTCCTTAGTGATGGCTACTACACTCAGCTCTGCCCCCTGACTGTCTTCAAATTCTGGTATGCTATTGGTATCTTCCACCATGAAGACTGATGTAAAGCACCTACTCAGTTCCTCCAGCTTTTCTTTGTTTCCCTTGATGACTTGTCCAGCCTCATTCCCCTGCAGTCCAATGTAAATTGTTGCTTCTCTCTTATCTTTCATGTGTCTTAAAAAAAAACTCTTGCAACCTTCTTTTACATTATGAGCTACTTTACCCTCATATTTGATCTTCTCCGCGCCTTATTGCTTTTTTAGTTGTCCTCTGTTCATTTTTAAAAGCTTTCGAATCCTCTGGTTTCCTGCTCATTTTTTCCACACTAAATGCTTTCTCTTTGCTTTTATGCTGTCCTATCTTCCCTTGTCAGCAATGGTTGCCTTGTCCACCCCTTGGGATGAATTTCTGCTGTGCCTCCCAAATGACCGCCAGAAACTCCTGCTATTGCTGCTCCAATGTCTATCCTGCTTGATTCCCCTTCTATTCAACTCTGGTCAGTTCCTCCATTGTGTCTTTGTAGTTATCTTTACTCAATTGTAATACCATTACATCTGATTCCAGCTTCTCCTCCCAACTGCAGGGTAAATTCTATCATATTATGCTCCCTGCTCCTGAGAGGTTCCTTCACCCTAAACTCCCTAATCAAGTCTGCCTCATTACACATCACCAAATCCAGAATTGCCTGTTCCCTGGCGGACTATACCACAAGTTGCTCCATAAAAATCTTGTAGACATTGCAGAAATTCCTTTTCTTAGGATCCGCTACCAAACTGATTTTCCTGGTCCAGCTGCACGTTGAAGTCCCACATGTTTCTTGTAATAGTGCCTTTCTTATGTGTCTTTTCCATCTCCTAATTTATTTTCTGCGTCACATCCTGACTACTGCTAAGGAGCCCGCACATAACTACTTCATGATCCTTTTTCCTTTTCAGTTCTTCAACTCTACTCACCTGGCTGGTGGTAGAATTTGAATTCTATAATAATCTGGAAAGAAGAGTCTAATGATGATCACGAAACATTGTCGCTTATCTGGAAAAACCCATATTTTTCACTAATATCCTTTAGGGAAGGAAATCTGCCATTCTTACTTGGTCTGGCCTACATGTGGTTGACTCTTAGTTAATTAATTAATTAAGTTTCCATAAAAGGTAATAGGAAAGACAGTATGGAAAAAGCCAGAAATCTAACTTCAGACAGACAAGCAGACAACTATGAGAAGCGGGGGGTCAACCCAGGATGGAGAGTGTTGTACTTAAATGTGTGCAATAGGCAAAAGAAAGTAAATGACCTTTTTGGAAATTCAGATACACTATATCTTCTACTTCCTGTTTATCTATTCAGCTGGATGCCTCCTGAAAGAATTTTAATAAAAATGTGTCAGGCATGATCTCCCCTTTAGAAAGCATTGCTGACTTTGCTTGATTAATTAGACAACTTTTTCCTGGTAAAATGGAATATAAATGTGAATAAGTATGAAGTTCTCTACTTTGGAAGGTAAAAACAGAAAGGCACAGTATTTTTTAAAATGCTGACAGGTTGGGACATGTGGCTGCCTGAAAGTAACCTGGGTGTCCCTGTTCATGGGTCACTAAAAGTTAGCATGCAGCAGCAACAATCAATTAGGAAGGCAAAACTGTGGGCCTTCATTGCTTAGGGATTTGAGACCAGGAGTAAAGATGCAGTTCTATAGAGCTTTGTTGAGATCTCAATTGATACATTGTCTACAGTTTTATTCCTCTTTAAAAGGAGGAATATAGTTTCATAGAGGGACTGCAATGAAGTTTTACCAGATTAATCCTGCAACGGCAGGATTGTCTTATGAGGAGCAATTGAAGAAACTCTGCTTTGTACCTGATAAAATTCTCACCATGCATGACAGAATTGATGTTTCCCCTGGCTCTTGAGTCTAAAACTAGGGACATAACCTCCAGATAAGAGGGAGGCCATTTCAGGAAAGGAGAAACTCATTCACTTAGATGGTGTTGAATTGTTGAAATTTGCTGTCCCAGAGGGGTGTGGAATCTCAATATTCATGACAGATATCATTTAAGTTCTGGAGAACAATGACATGGAGATCATGCAGATCAGTTATGATCTAATTTACTGCTAGAACAGGCTTCATGGGTTGAAGGTTTCCTCCTGTTTCTATCTTCCTTTGAGCCTATGACAGATTGTAAGGAGTTTCTTGACCAACCTGGAGCTGGCTCCTCCCATCCTCCTTCCTCTGTCTCTCACTGCTTTCCCCGTCTAATCGCCCAGTGATTCCAGAGAGCGGCCAGAGGCTCGTAGCTCCTCCCCTGATTTCAGTTCTTTGTCTTCAGTTGTGTTTGGTTTTCTCCTGTCAGAGGAAAGTAGAGCATGTGAGTAGAGCACTTTATTCACCATCCGATAAAGTACAACACTGGTGCGAGGATTCATCCTGCATACATCCCACAGTGTTTTATTTCTTCACCCAGTCAGAGATTGAGGGATGGAGTGAGATATGAAGACACTTGTGTTTCCTCCTCAATATTTTAAGGAAATTCCTCTTGATGGGGAATGCCACAGAGAGGGCAGGCTGAGTGGAAATACATAAAAATGTGGGTGCAGGTTTTGCTGTATAAATAAAGTTGTCTGAATGACCCTCATTTTGATTAATGTGCAAATTGGCTGGCATCAGTGGTTAGCACTGCCGCCTCACAGCGCTCGGGACCCGGGTTTGATTCCACCCTTGGAGGACTGTCTGTGCGGAGTTTGCACATTCTCCCCGTGTCTGCGTGGGTTTTCTCCGGGTGTTCCGGTTTCCTCCCACAGTCCAAAGATGTGCGGGTTAGGTGGATTGGCCACACTAAATTGACCATAGTGTACATGGGTGTGTAAATTAGATGGATTAACCACAGGAAATCCAGCATTACAGGATAGGGTAGGGGGGTGAGTTTGGATGGGATGCTCTTCAGAGGGGCAATGTGGTCTTGTTGAGCTGATTGGCCTGTTTCCACACTGTAGGAATTCTACGGTTCCATGCACACACACAAGTTCCCCATGATTTGTACCATTCCACTTCACCATGATTTTCATAATGTTGTAACATTTATACATGAACTGGCCATGAATCAAATTATTACTATAAATCAGGAAATGGCTGATTTGTTACATATCCACTTGTCTTTATAATGGAGACTAAATTCCCCAAGGAAGGCTGAAAATTAAAGGCAGAGCAAGGGAAAATCTTTAGCTAAGTTCAAAATGGTAAAGGCAAAATAATGACTCTAAAAGTAGACAGAGTTCTAGCAATCCTTTAAGGGAAGGTGGTGGGGTTAAGATATGATAACAATGCTTCAGAGGCATTTAGATAGACACAAACAGGCAGGGAAAGAGGGGTATGGGCCTTGAGCAGGCAGATGGGATTAGTTTAGAACGGCATCATGGTGCAAATATGGTGGGCCGAAAGGCCTTTTCCTGCGTTGTACTGTTCTGTGTTCTAACACCTAGGCTTCCCCCGACCCCCAAATTATTAAAAGTATGAGACTTCAGCAAACTGAGAGTTGTGCAGAGAAAACCTCCATCTAAAACCTGTGACCAAGGAGAATACAAGTTAGTGCCAACTTAACACACTTAAGCATTAATATTTACATATCACATATCTTTTGCAATGGCAATTGTATTGTTCTTTGCATTTATCTATGCTCTGCCAGTACTGCTAACATTGGTACTGTGTTTGTATCTAATGTTGAGGGAATGTGTTCTTTTTATGTAGGGGTTTCGTTGTGATACAATTAAAAGTGCAACTAGTGGCAATTTTAAACAGAATAATGGAATGCATGATCAGGTGACTGAATTTCGAAACTGTGGATACAAAGGACTGGGAATGGTGTTAGCTCTGACTCAGTTGATTTCACACTTGTTTCTGATTCATAAGGCTCTGCATTCAATTCCATCTTTAGTACCTGTGCACAAAAAAAAAACTATGCTCTACAGATGCTGCCAAATCTGCAGAATTTCTTCAGCACTTTTTGTTTTTGGGTTAGTTGGCAGTGTTACACTATCCCCAGGCACTATTTCAAGCAAGACCCAGGGACTTGTCCACAGTACACTAACCAATATTTATCAGCCAGATTTTTGGGTCACATAACTAAGTTGCTGGCTCTTTGTTATTAAACCGGTCTTCTTGACTTGGGATCAAGTCACTGTATGGTCAGGGAAGACCCAGAATGTTGACTGTGTAAATGTCAGAGAAGATAAGTGGAAATTAGTGAATATAGTGTATTTACATTTTCAAGAGACATTTAAGAATACATTTGTAAGAAAAGACTTGCATTTATGTTTACCATCAGGTAACTAAAAGTGCTTTTCAACCAAAGATGTTTAAATTGTAAAAACTGTTTCAAAGTTAGAGGCACAGCAACCAATTTTTACTCAGCAAACTCCCACAAACAAATGTGACAATGCCCAGATAATCTGCTTTTGTGACACTGGGTAATAAATGAAAAACCAAGAGGCTATGTTAAATTTATAGAAGTTCGGCCAGAAAACACCGAGTAGGTTTGATCTCCATATTATAAGAAGTGTAGAGAGGCACTGGAGAATGGATTGTTTAGTAGTTCCTCAGGTCTGGAACTGATAGGTGTGGATGTTATACTATAACTGTACAAAGCTCCAATTAACTTCATCCACTACTTCCTTCTTTTTACAACCAATTTGGACTCAATTAATTTACCACAAGTCTTCATTCATCCTCTTTATTTCCATCTTTAAACCTCACATGTTAAGGATTACTCTATGCTGTTATTCACCAAGGTTGGGAGCAGCTGCTATCAACATACAATTTCAGATATGCTGTCGATGAAAAAAAATGTTTAATAGCTAAACACACATGAGCAAGTGTAGCTAGTGGGACACACTGAGAAATGCCTCACTCCAGCAAAATCTGGCCCATGCTGTTCTACTTGCCTTATTTGAATTCTTTCTTGGCCTCCTGTTTTGAAATTTTTACTGCTGTACAGGAGCTTTTTCAGAGGCAAGGGCTCATCCATTGACAGGACCATGATTTATAACATAGAACATAGAACAGTACAGCATAGTAGAGGCCCTTTGGCCCACGATGTTGTGCCGAACTTTTACCCTAATCCTAAGGTCTATCTCACTTCCACCCCTACCTTATACTATCATCCATATGCCTATCTAATAGCTGCTTAAATGCCCCTAATGAGGCTGACTCCACTACCCTCTCCGGCAATGCACTCCATGCCCCTACCACTCTCTGAGTAAAGAACCTACCTCTGACGTCTCCCCGATATCTACCTCCATTCACTTTAAAACTATGCCCCCTCATAATAGCTACCTCCACCCTAGGAAAAAGTCTCTGGCTGTCCACTCTATCTAAACCTCTGATCATTTTGTACACCTCTATCAAGTCACCTCTCATCCTTTGTCGTTCTAAAGAGAAAAGCCCTAGCTCTCTCAACCTTTCCTCACAAGACCTTCCCTCCATTCCAGGCAACATTGCAGGCAACAACCTCCTCTGCATCTTTTCCAACGCTTCCACATCTTTCCTGTAAACGAGGCAACCAGAACTGGATACAATACCCAAGATGTGGCCGAACCAGGCTTTTGTATAGCTGGAGCATAACTTCACAGCTCTTGAACTCAATCCCTCTATTAATGAAAGCTAACACAGCATATGCCTTCTTAACCTGGGTGGCAGCTTTTAGGGAATTGTGAACATGAACCCCAAGATCCCTCTGCTCCTCTACACTGCCAAGAATCTTTCCGTTAACCCTGTGTTCTGCTTTTGAGTTTGTCCTTCCAAAATAAATCACCTCACACTTTTCAGGGTTAAACTCCACCTGCCACTTCTCAGCCCAGCTCTGCATCCTATCAATGTCCCTTTGTAACCTAGAACAGCCCTCCGCACTGTCCACAACGTGACCCACCTTCGTATCGTCAAGTGACTTCTGATCTCCATCACAAAGTTTTGCCTCCTTTGCTGTAATTCTACCAAGTAAACCTCTGGTAAGGAATAAGAATTCTTTGTGCCATGAAGAATCAGCAGGAAGTGCAGTGTCGCAGCCAATTTGAAGGTTTTTTTTATTCGTTCGTGGGGTATGAGTGTGACTGGTTGACCAGCATTTATTGCCCATCTCTACCTGCACTTGAGAAGGTGGTAATGAGTTACCTTCCTGAACTGCTGCAGTCCTCTTGCTGTAGGTAGACCCACAGTGCCCTTAGGGAGGGAATTCCAGCAACAGTGCAGGAAAGGTAATATATTGCCATGTCAGCATGGTGTGTGGCTTGAACAGGAACTTGCAGGGGATGGTGTTCCCATGCAGCTGCTGCCCTTGTCCTTCTATATGGGAGTTGTTGGGGGTTTTGAAGGTGCTGTTGGAAGTTTCAGCCAAATGCAGCCTTAATGTCAAGGGCTGTTACTCTCACCTCCCGTCTGGAATTCAGCTCTTTTTGTCCACCTTTGAACACGGTTCAAGGAGGCAGCTCAGCACTACCTTCTCAAAGGCAACTCGGCCTGTGCACATCCTGAACGATTTAAAAAAAAACATACATAATGACATTTTAAACCATTGAAAGTATTCTTTAATCTAACGAGATATGATGCGCCCTCAGCATTCTCGCCGTAATATTAAAGAGTTTAAATTAATTTTATGCGTTTGTTTTTAAACTCTACAGATAAGGAGAAACAAACTGAGGTGATTCGTCCATATTACAAAAGACTCGGAATCAGTTTCTCAATGTTAACTTTCTGCTGCGTACAATCTCCACATCCTGACACTTGAATAGAACCCACACCCTTCCTGCAATTTGCTCTGCTAACAGTTTCATTTATACTTAGCCCACTGCAGAATTCTGAATATAAAACCTTTAGGAACTCTCTTGTTTTAAGCTGACCCAGAGTTTGACGAGTAAAGCAGATTGACAGACCGAAACGCTCCATACTCTGTCAAATTGAGCTGTAATCCTGTTTAAATTTAAATGCGATTCTCTCCGAATGGGACAACTGCACTGTTTTGTTCTTATTTCCTCGTCCTTACCTGCACTGGTTCTGTGAAGGGGGCGAATTTCTCAGTGTAGTTCACACCTGAATGCACATTCACTGGTTCCTGCAGTCTCGGAGTTGCACCAACTCTTGTGAGTAAATATAGAAACTCAACACATTTAATAAAAGCTTTTCAAAGTCATTGCGTACGGGTAGCAATCTGACCAATGACAATCAAATACAATGAAGGATCACTTGTTACTGGGGCGATTTTGCTTTTACAGCTTCCGCAAAAATAAGAAGCCCAACAAAAAGCTTCTTTTACTTCTGACAACGAGTTGGAAAATTGTAGCTGCTTGAATTTCCGATGCTGTTATTGGGCGAGACAGTTAGAGATGAATGGGTTAAACCAATTCCAAATTGACGAAATTATCTTGCCTTTTGTCTCAATGTAGTTTCACTTTCCGGGAATTCAGTTATTTAGTATTATCTGTACATCACTAAGTTTAACAACACGTCAGCGGTTTCGAATGAAACGTTGCCAACAAACAAAGGTCAAATACGATTTTGTGCCAGACAACACGTAACCAGTTAAAGAACAAACTGCCACACAAAACAAATCCCTCGGCCTTTCTGATCTTAAAAAAAAAACATTTTTAAGCAATCCGTGCGGACATATTATGACATATCTCCGCAGAAGCTGGGACTTGAACATACACTTTCTCGCCCACAGGACATTACCACTGTAGTCCAAATCTCCCTTTGTACTGATTAAATATTTACCCATTGCAACATCTAAACTTTAGCAGAGCCTGCTCTGTCTTCCAACAAGAAACAAACATATTGCAGAGTGAGACAACAAGGTGCAGAGCTGGATGAACACAACAGGCCAAGCAACATCATAGGAACAGGAAGGCTGACGTTTTGGGCCTGGACCCAAAGGACGATCCGTTCTCTTGCCGGGAGGGCACTGGTCAATCAGATTGGTCGTTTACATCATTGTTTTTGTTGAATTCCATTGGCTAACTGGACACGGTGGATTTCGAGACACCACCCCTATGTCACCAGCAACCAGGACAGTATGACAACTCAGTACCTAACCTGCCAAGGTCTCAATCCCACTGCCTTGCTGCCCCATTCTGTTTTGCTGCATGAATCACAGGTCAGTCTGCAATATGAGATAACAAGGTGTAGAGCTGGATGAACACAGTAGGCCAAGCAGCATCAGAGGAGCAGGAAGGCTGACGTTTC